TGTTCAAAAAATCCCATGAAGAGGGCCATGCCTCTGCTTCAGAGGAAGGGGACCCCCCCCACCCCCCACAATCCATACCAATCTGACTGTAGAGTAAAATTCCTTCCTGACCCTAGATATGGTAATCAGTCTGACCCTGAGTGGAGGGGCAAGACCCTGTAGCCAGGAACCACTGGGTTTAAATTCCAGGAGAAGCACTGAGAGAACCAGTCAAAATCTGCAGCTTTGTATGCAGCTAACACCCAAAGCCACTGAGGAAGACTTTGAAAAAAAGCAATCCTGATATATGTCACATGTGAAACTACCTCCCAGCATTATGCATAGTCTTATTTCTTATGTAAATAAATAAACAAAAATGTTAGGCTTTAAAAATGAAGGCAGAGTTACTAGGACATTATGAAACCTTTGGGTATAGAATATGCTATGAAAATCAAAAAAGAATAATCAGCTAATGTTTAAGTTTTATCTCATCATTCATTTTAAAATTTTAAAAATTGTCTTCATTCTCTTAAATCCCTATCATTCAGACACTTCCTGATAAGTTAATGTTAAAGAACAAAAAAGGACAGAAAATACAATATTTTACTATAATTAAAACACAACAGCAACTAAATGTAGTTCTGTTGGAAATGAAAGTATGCATAACATTTTATACTTTGAGAAAAAGGAAATTAGCATGGGGCATATTCATATTATTAAAACAAGTATAATTTCAAGTATGCAAAAATAGATTACAGTAAATTACTTAAAATGTTTTATACTGTGCAAATCAATACCTCTACTGCAGTGTTGCTAAAGAAAGATACATAGCTCAAATCCTCCTAGATTTCAAACAATCAATTTTTGCTTATTTGGAACAACATTAGTGTAATCGCAAATTTATATTCTAAAGTCTTATTATATAGGTAACAGACAAACGAGCATGCTTCAGTAGAGGAATAAAATATCTGCGAGGCCAAGGGACCCAGTGTGGGCTCTGGTTTTCAGAATCTTGACGAATGCTTTTTCACTGCTTCTGCATATCTATTTATATGGATTTATTCATATGGACTATATGGATTTATAAGGCCATTTAATCCTTCTGTAAGTATATGGCAATTTAGTAGCTGCAAAACTGCATTTTTTCACTTTTTTGCTGTTTTTTAAACATAGTTTTGATTCTGTGTAGTTACACTCAATAAGCTACAGTTTGGGTCTGGAAGCATTGTGGGGGGTGGGGAGAACTTCCTTGGTGGATGTTTAATACAGTGTCAGTCTCAACTGACTAGCAACTATTTGATGCCAAAGGAGGAGGACACAAGAGTCCTTCTCAAGCAGAATTTGCTAATGGCTGATGCCATTTATGTAGAGAGTGGGATTCTCATATTCTCATATTCTTGGTCACATATACCAAGGTGCGGTGTTTGAATTACAGTGGCTACCTGGGAAACACTCTAATTAAAATGCCTTCTGCCCACCAACTCCAAGCACATGTATAGGTAGCCATTGTACAGAGTAATCCGGTCTCAAATCTATTTCCACAGCATTTCATACCAACACCAAGTGAGTGCCCCATTGTCAGGATCTTAGGTCAAGAGAAGTGTGGGTCAAGCTGAACAGACTGAGATCTCAATACAGGTGCTTCAAAACAGCACTGTACCAGATGAACACCTTGTACATCCCCCTGTGTGAATGTGGTGTCCATCAGGCAACACAGCAGTTAATCGAAAGCTGCAATCTTTACCAATGCTCTGATGGGGAAAATGGAATCCAAACACTGAGTGATAATACTGCATAGTGGCTCATAGCCAGAAGGATCATAGTTTACTGGTTTATAGCCATTCATATGATACAAATACATTTAAAAAATGTCAAGTATTTCACTTATAACTACATTAAAAATAAAATTATCGTGGATTTTTTTTACTTAAAATATTACCTATAGTAGTGATGCTTGTAGTCCCTCTTGAAAGGTCAGCTGTCCCAGGTGTAAAGGTGATTAAATCTGTATTTTTTTCTAGGATTTGTTTGAGAGTCAGCGAAATTTCACATAGGCATCTTTGGAGTTAGGCAAAGATCTACATTTAAGACAGCATGCCTTAGACCACTGCAAGTGGAAAATATTAAAATGTTATGTACTACGAATAAATCAAATGTGTTTTAATTTAGAGTTATTGCTAGGAAACCACTGGATACAAATAATCTACTTCAACTGATAAAATCACTAAATAATAGTATTTATATATATTACAACAAGGTGTCTGTTTTATAAAATAAAAAACAAAATTATATGGCTTAAATAGTTTTGGAATTGATATTATGGCTATTAGATATCCTGTACCTAACTTTCTACTTAAATTATGCAGGTGAAAATGTGAACATTTAACCATATTAGAGAGCTTGTTCTCAAATCTGTATTTGTAGAATGATTCCTAAATGATTGATACCCTTTCAGTAGCACCATTAAAACGTGCTTCAGGGACTACAGACCATAGAGTAGATTTTTTAATCCAGTGATTTGGAGAGTCTGTATGGCTTAAAGTCCATTATCACCAGAATATTTCAAGTGATAAATTCTTCAGAAGCAATAAATGACAAAAAATTCCAGGAGGTATAGTACTGAATTAATAGTCTACAGAGGTAGGCTATTGCTTTCACCTTTCCTTATATTGATATTCTTCTTATTGTAATGAAGCGAAGTGTGTATTTTAACTCATAAAATATTCCTTAATCATTCACAGACAACCGGCGATCCTCTGGATCATGGTATATATGTAAGAGGTCTAATCAGTTGCTTGATGAATCCACTTGTGGCTAACAAGCCCATTTGAGAGAGATACAGCTTGTTACAAGTTTCACGAATTAATTATGTTGTCTGAGTTGAAGCCCAAGTTTATAGCATGCTGCTTCCTTCTTTCTTTCTTTGCTACCATCCTCTGGATCAAAGCAGCTTCATTTTGTGCTGCACCCAGTGCCAAATGTTCCCTCCAGGTCAGATAGGATTCTATGCACACCTCCCAGCATTCTACATTTACGTTGAACAACTTCATATAATTTTTGCACACATCATGGTGCCACCCTAGAGGGTGACCCCACTTTCTAAAGCCATCTCAAATCTCTTTACATAAAATAGTCTTGGGAATATGCTTTCTTCTCATTCTCTTGACAGGGCCGAGACATCACAGCCTCCTCTTCTTGATAGCAGTTCCTAAGTGTGTCAGTCCATGCTCCAGCATCTCTGTGTTTGGTATTTTGTCTTCCCACTTTATTTTCAGAATCTTATGCAATCATCTCATGTGGAAGCTGTTAAGGCTTTTTATATGCCTAGCATATGTAATCCATGTTTCTGAACCATAAATCAGGGATGACAGCATGCACGTCTTGTAGATTCACATTTTCACCTTAGCTGATAGTTTGCTGTTATTCCATGCACATTTCTGTAATAGCCCAACATTCTTAGCCTCTTTTCTGATTCTGTTAGTCAGTTTAGTCTGAAGGTCAAGATTCCTGTTGCTCATAAAACCAAATAACAAAAGTTGTTGAAATGCCAAAAGATGTATACTCAAGAGTGATATCAGGTATTAGTTCTTCTATCCCTTGGTACATGATCACAGTCTTCTTGATCTGGAACAGAAGTTCCATAAATGGGTTTGACCTAAATCAGTTAAGTCTGAAACTATATCCAACCAGCTTTATCTTAAACCAGTTTTGGTCATTGTGAAAGTGGTTTATTTACACTGAACTTCTGTTGTGTTACTGGGTTAAGCAAGTTCCTGATCACTTAAACTGGTTTATGTGTAACTTCTATCACTAACCCTTGAGACTAATTGTCAACCTGAAGTTCTTGCAGGACTTAGAAGATCTGCCCAAGTGATTTTGTAGTGAATATTCACAACCAAGGCTGTGCCATCAACAAATAAAATCTCACAGAGCCAGCTGTTGAACAAGCTGTTGAACAGGCTGTTGAACAAGCCTCCATCCAGTCTAGTTTCAAGAGAAGTGCCATCATTGTTGTCCTTGAATGCATGAAGAAGCAGGAAAAAAATGTAGATGTTAAAGAGCACAAAAGCTAAGACACACCCTGTTTCATCCTGTTAATGATGCCAAGGGCATTTGATTCTTTGTTTCTATACACTACAGTTGCCTTCATACCTTGATGTAATGAGCGAATGATGTACAGCAGTTTGGGAGGATGTGGCAGGGCACAGGTGGTTAATTTAAGATGCTTAATCAGGCTGCAGATCAGCCTGCAGGTGGGAGCAGACCCAATCAGGTAGTCATATGGCACCCAGGAGGCTGCCTGATTGGTGTAGGACTAGGCAGTCAGTGTATAAGACAGGCCCTAAAAGAAGAACTGGCCAGTTCTGGGAAGCCAGAAGGTGAACATCTCCCAGCCGGAGTACTGCTCCCAGAACACTTGGAGGTCAAAGGTAAGAACTATGGGGGTGGAGGAAGTTCCTGGTCCTGGGGTATGACCTACAACTACACCCTGCTGGGATTGGATGGTGTGGTAGGGCTGCCTGTGGTGGGGCAATCTCCAGGAAATGCCACACCTGTGCCTCCCCGGTGAAAGGCAAGGATGGGGTGCCAAATAGCCTCAGTCCCCCATGACCTGGTGGGTTGCTCTGGGGATAGGACAGGCTAGTGTTCCTTGCACATCATCAGATACCTGAAGCCCAAGGCTGTATGGCCCAAGAAACCTAGTGAGGGGCTGGAGTTGTGACTCAGTAAGGGGCAGAGAATGAGTGAGTCCTGTGAGAGCAGAACAGCGGGCCCAGGAGGGGCCCAGAGAAACCAAAGAGAGGTCAGAGAGTGAGAATAGTGTGTGTAGAGGGGCCCAAGAAGGCAGACCCATCTGGGAGAGAGGGCTAGCCACTCAAGAACCTACCCATAGAAACTTGACTGGCCCATGCTGGGGCCAGGACCATTAGGGTCAAAGGGCAAGAATGCCCACCATGAGGGCAAGAGCCAGGGGACTAGAGTCCCAACAGGGCTAAAGGCGAGACCAGGACTGGTGAGGTCAAATGTACTGGAGGGAGCCACTGCCAAGAGGGAAAGGGGTCTAGGGAGTTTGCAGCCCAGGATGGTGGTGGAGGTTAGGCCGCCTGAGTAGGAGAGATCTAGGTTCGGGTCTAAATGTCACATGGGATTATAGTGAGGTGCAGTGTGGGGCACAGTCATATAGTGATGCCATACACAAGGCCTGGGACATGGTGTAGGGATAGTATGGAGCCATGCATTACACTCTTGGCATCAAAGCATTAAATGGGCAGCCTCTCACCTAGGAACAACTATTTAACTTGGTTACAACAAAGGCATGGCAGGCGAGTAAGGTAGGTGGGCTGCCCTAGAGAGGTGGGTGGGCCAATGTTTGGACCAGCCCCAAGATGTTCCCCTGTCACAGGAGACAGTTATTTCTTCAAGAGAGTAAAAAGGTCCTGTCCGTTGACTGTATGGAAGGCCTTCATCAGATCAATAAAAGGTAGATATAGTAGTTTTTCTCTAGACTTCTCTTGCAGTTGTTTAACCGAAAATATCATATCATGGTAGAGCGTCCTGATCAAAAACTGCATTATCAATCAAGTATTGGAATAAACATAAACATCAAAACAAATAAAATCTATGTCCATTAATAGTGTCTTTGACATATAACTCCATTTTATATAAGATCATGATCCAGTAAAGGATTTAGGTGCCTATAAGGCAGGAACCAAAATACTTAATTTTTAAGCGTATGATGCCTGGAACTCTGGGAACCCAAATCTTTTAAACTCACAAGCAGAAACCAAGATTCTAATAACACCAGGAATCCAGGCGAACACCAGTCCCCATTCAAATTGGGCTCTCCTGTGAGGTTTCTATTGAAGCATATGATATATGACAGACTAAAGGGAGCTACAAACCCCTGACTGGAGGGCTATATAACCCTTCCACTTTATGTAGGGTCCTGTTCCAGCAACAGGATTATTGGGTGTTGATGTCCTGGCCCTTGATGCTTATTTCTGGTTGCTTGGACCACTTGTCCTTGATCTCAATGAGTAGGCTTGACTGCCTATGCTTGGAGCAACCTTGAGATTCAGCAGCAAATTAAAGGGATCTACTCTATGTGACACTGGTCAGGCCACAGCTAGAGTACTACATCCAGTTCTGGGTGCCGCACTTCAACAGGGATGTGGACAACATGGAGAGGGTCCAGAGGAGGGCCACTTACATGATCGGGGACAGCAGGGCAGGCCCTACGAGGAGAGGATACAGGACCTGAACCTGTTCAACCTCCACAAAAGAAGGCTGAGGGGGGATCTAGTGGCCTGTTAAAAACTAGTCAGAGGGGACCAGCAGGCATTGGGGGAGTCCCTGTTCCCCCAAGCACTACCAGGAGTGACTAGAAATAATGGTCACAAGCTGGCAGAGGGTAAATTCAGATTAGACACCAGAAGGCGCTACTTCACTGTCAGGGCAGCTAGGGACTGGAACCAACTTCCAAGAGAAGTGGAGCTGGCTCCTACCCTGGGGGTCTTTAAGATAAGGCTAGACAATAACCTTGCTGGGGCCATTTGACCCCAGTACTCTTTCCTGCCATGGCAGAGGGTCGCATTTGATGATCTGCTCAGGTCCCTTCTGACCCTTCTAACTATGAAACTACTCAAGGCAAACTGGGGGAAATGGACTTACTTAATCTAGAGAATAAGAGACTAAGAGGAGATTTAATAGTAGGACTGTGCGAAGCTTCGGTTGCTGATTTGATTCGGAAGAGATTCAGCCCAATTCAGAGGCTGAATCTCCGAAACCAAATTGTATCATGAGACCCATTAATGTCTCTGAATCAAATCGGAAGCCCCCAGATTGATTTGGAAAGATTCGATGATTCAGCCATAGACACAGCTTTATGTGTTTTTTCTATATACCTTGAGGTACCAGGTGTAACTTGTGAAAGCTGAGATGGTGGAGCAGATGGAGTGTCCCACAGGAACACAGGGGAGTCCCCTGCACACTTAGCAGGGGTCCCAGAAGTGGACCAGAAGTACTTCCTGTTCACTTCCAGGTCCGCCACCAAGTGCACAGGGGATCCCCCCACTCCGCATGCTCCCAGCTCAGTGATCTGCCTTGGAGGGACACTGGGTGCCCTCCAAGACCCAGAAGGCACCAGTCACTGAGCCAGGGGCTGGGGGGGTCCCCCATGTGCTCCATGATGGACCCAGAAGTGGACAAGTATTTCTGGTCCATTTCTGGGTCTGCTGCTGAACTTGCGGGGGACCACCCATGCTCCCATGGGACATTCCATCCACCTCACCATCTCAGCATTCATGAGCCACTCCTGGTATACCTCAAGGTATGTAGAAAAAACATACAAAGCTGAGTCTATGGCCAAATCATAGAATCTTTCCTAATCGAATCAGAGGTTTCCAATTAGATTCGGATAGATTAATGGGTCTCCTGAGTCAATTTGGATTCGGAGATATGGCCACTGAATCAGGCCAAATCTCTTCCAAATCAAATCAGTGACTGAAGATTCTCACAGCCCTAATATTAAATCTCCTCTCAGTCTCCTATTCTCTAGACTAAATAAGCCCATTTCCCTCAGCCTGTTCTCATAAGTCATGTGCCCCAGCCCCCTTACCATTTTTGTTACTCTCCGCTGGACTTTCTCCAATTTGTCCACATCCTTTCTGTAGTGGGGGGCCAGAACTGGACACAATATTCCAGATGTGGCCTCACCAGCGCTGAATAGAGGGGGATAATCACTTTCCTTGACTTACTGCCAACGCACCTACAAATGCAGCCCAGTATTCCATTAACCTTCTTGGCAACAAGGGCACACTGCTGGCTCAGATTCAGCTTATTATCCACTATAACCCCTAGGTCCTTTTCTGCAGAGTGGTTGCCCAGCCAGTCAGCCCCCAGCCTGTACTGTTGTTCTGTTGGTCTGTCCTAAGTCCAGGACTTTACACTTGTCCTTGTTGAACCTCATGAGATTCCTTTTGCCCCAATCCTCCAAATTGTCTAGGTCACTCTGAATCCTAGCCCTACCCTCCAGTATATCTTCTACTACCTGCAGCTTGGTGTCATCTGCAAACTTGCATGCTTGCATGCTATGCCATCTTTCAGGTCATTGATGAATATATTGAACAAAACCAGCCCCAGGACTGACCCCTATCCCACTCCACTTGATAACAGCTGCTAACTAGACATTGAGCCATTGATTACTACTGTCTGAACCCGCTGCTCCTGCCAGTTTTCTATCCACCTTAAAGTCCATTCATCCAGCCCATACTTCTTTAGGTTGCCTGTGAGAATGTTGAGCGATACTATCAAAAACCTTGCAAAATCAAGGTATACCACACCCACTGGTCTCCCTGTATCCATAGAGCCAGTCACGTCATCATAGAAGGCAATCAGGTTGGTCAGGCATGACTTGTCCCTGGTGAATCCATGCTGACTGTTCCTATTCACCTCTTTCTCCTCCAAGTGCTTAAAAATAGATTTCTTGAGGATCTTCTCCATGATTTTTTCTGAGGATTGAGGTGAAGATGACTGGTCTGTAGTTCCCTGGATCCTCCATTTTCTCTTTCTTAAATATGGGCATTATGTTTGCCCTTTTTCAGTCATCCAGGACTTCTCATGATCATCATGTGTTTTCAAAGATGATAGCCAGTGGCTCTGAAATCATATCAGCCAACTCCCTCAGTACCTTTGGGTGCATCCCATCTGGCCCCATGGACTAGTGCATGTCCAGCTTCTCTAAATAGTCCTGTTCTTCTCTAAATAGACCTGTTCTTCTGCCACTGTTGGCTGCTCACCTCCTTCCCATACTGTGCTGCCTGTTGAAATGGTGTGGGAGCTCACCTTGCCTGTGAAGACTGATGTGAAAAAGGCATTGAGAACTTCAGCCTTTTCTGCATCCTCTGTCACAAGGTTGACTCCCCCATTCAGTAAGGGACCCACACTTTCCCTGATCCTTCTCATGCTACTAACATACTTGTAGAAATCCTTCTTGCTACCCATCACATCCTTTGCTAGCTGCAATTCCAATTGTGCTTTGGCTGGCCTTCCTGATTTCATCCCTGCATGCCCAAGCAATGCTCTTATATTCTTCTCTAGTTATTGTCCAAGTTTCACCTCATATAAACTTCCTTTTTGTGATGTAATTTATTAAAGAATTCTTTGCTAAGCCACATATTTGTGGAAAAATCAAAAAATAGCAAACTGTAAAAGGAATATATTTCCTTAACATTTTAATCAGGCAGTGAATTCAGTTATTATCATGCACTTCAACAGAATAACAAGTAGCACATCAATTTGGTTGCTTCAACCTCAAAACAATACTGTCCCTGGACTTTCCTATAAAATCTATCAATATGTGTAAAAATCATACAATATGTCTCATTAATAACAATCCCAAAAATCAAAAAAGCAATATTATTTGCATGTAAAGTTAAAATCTGGTATATCTAAAATTCTTTGGCTGTTTTAAAAAATTTTTTTCAAGAACATGTCTGTTTGGAGTTCTTAGTGCTCTTAAAACTTTGATCTACATTAATTTAATATAAAAGTACCTAATTAATACGACTCCTTTACTTTTCCCTTTGGCTCTTATTAAACCTAACTTCATTCCTCAGTAAATTATTCTTTTTAACTTTTGGGGCAACAATTCCACACTCTGCTAGGGTGAGATCAAATTGTAACCAATCACTATCATAATTTTATAACTGGTTTATACATTGATTTGAAAATCTTTATTTTCCACATATACTACTGTTTGTTACACATAAAACTATGTATAAATAACAATAATTTTATTTTTATGCTTTATTAAGTTAATAACCAAGACAATATAACCATTAATTTAATATAACTAAAATTATAGTATCACTAAATAATGTGCATTTAAGACTACTTTGTACCCATAATGATTCCTCCCAATAATTGTGTTGCTTGGCTTCAAGCATAACTGTTAAAACTATTTCATTTTATTTTTTTATTTGATTTTCAGGTTTCATTGAATGCTCATTTTTCCTCTGCATTCACTTTTATTACAGAAGTGATTCCAAAAATGGGAATAGCAAACACAGTGGTATGGACTATTGTACTGTGATCAATACATCCTAACAAAATATTTGAACCTGTGGTTTGCACTCAAATGATCCATGATGACATATTTTATGTTCACAAAAAAGTATCACAAAAAAACCATGCACTTTCACTAAATGACAGCATAGTAACAATGTTGCCATAGTAACATGTGTAGACACACCCAAAACCATGTGCTTAAAAAGCAAGGACTCATCGCTACAACATCAGGGTGGTTTGGTCAGTCACAGGTATCAGGGAGCCACTAGAGAAATACAGTTGTGAAAAGGCCAATAGGTTCTAATCCTCTTTTTTTTATTTGCAATAGCCCCTAGCTGTGTCATCTTCAAATTGAATGAGGAGCCATCAGGTTCTAGTACCAAGATTTCTGATAAAAATTTTAAATAAAATACGTCCCAAGAGCAAACTCTAAAAACGTGTCTCGTAACAGTACTCTACTCCAATATTCACCTTTCATCATAAGCTTATAGCTTTGGGGCATGATCTGCACCTTAGTCTATGTATGTAGAGTGCTCAGCAAAATGGGACTACCTCATTCTCAGTTGAGGGGTCTATTTCTTAACATAGTATAAACCAATAAAAATGGCTGTGTGTAGACAAAACAAGGGTATGTGTGCATGACACTTTAAAGCAGGCTAAATGTTTTTGCAGCATTTTAATGGTGTTGGTGTTTGCATGCCTTAGCAGCATATTGCACATTAATTCCAGCTGCGGTAGGAAATTCAACGGCATAATGCACCTTAAACGACTTGGGATGCAGCAAACTAAAACTCCTCTGAAGAGGAATCCCTGCAGGCAGCCTTGCAGCAGTCTGGGAAGGCAGGCTCTGCCCAAGAGAGGGGGGAAAAAAGCGTAGTGAGCATGACTCCCTCCCACCCTCACCTGGCCTGAAGCCTGCCTGTCTACCTGAGCTGTGCAGGGATCTGGTGCCTCCCTCCACAGCTGCAGTGCCCCCAGGGACCACCTGCACCGGGTGCCTGTGGGCAGATGCCACCTGTGGGTGGGGGCACTGCTGCTGCGGAGGAAAGCACGTGGGGGATTTAATCAGCCCTAAATTGAAGCGGTGTTTTTAAAAACCCACTGCTTCAACTTAGGGCCCCTATTTCATCTACACATGCCCAGTAACACCAGTGAAATGAAAATAAAGCAAATATAAACAACTAAATGTTAAAATAGAATAAGAATCACCAGCATCAAATTCTTACAGCTTGCCATTCTTAGTGGCTCCTTGATCAGTCACATAGCCTGAAGCATAATAGTCTAGTCCAGCATCCACTGAAACCAATGGAAATGCTTTCCCTCTGTTAAGAGAAAATTAGGCTCTGAGTTAGGATTTCCATTTTTGCACGGTGGGGGTGGTACCTGAATCTGGTACTACTATATAGGATCTTGTTTAGTTATTAGACCTCATGCTTAATGATGGATGATCAGAATGGTAAGTTTTCCTTCTGTGTGGGTGCATCTACATGAAACACTACATCACTGTAGTGACAAACTATGGCAATGTAGCTCATTGCTATGACAACATAGCACCAGTAGGCACTAACCACGATGCCACCGCTACTGCACAGTAACAATAAGCAACTGTGCAGTAGCTCATTGTTACTGTGCAATAGAGTTGGAGATGGCCCATGCACCAGTGAGATTGCTAAAGCAAGTACTAAATGATTTTACAGTACCAACAGCACAGTGAAGCACATATAGACACATCCAGTGTTGGTCTATTGTTGCACATAGATTAGGGGGTTTTTCTTCTTTGCTTGATTGCCAAAGATGGTAATACCTGACTTCTCAGTTCCCAGAACATCAAAACCTTCCCTAGTGGCTGTTGAAATTTCATCTTAGAATTATTCTATGAGTTTTTCTAAGAAGTCATGTCAACTTTAGGCAGTTTAGAAAAAGACTAAGCTATAGGTATGCTATGTAGCTTTTAGAAACACATTTTCAGGAAGAAATAATTCTTTAGTAGCCTGATTTGTTTTTCTTTGTCTCTTTAAAGTATGCATGCAGTCATCAGGCATTTTACAGTTTATTTTGCTGGTCTTTCCTTGAACAGAAGCCAGGGATAATTTACCTTTTCATCTTGAGGTGTTGGGGAGCAGGAAGTGATTTTTCCATATAGGGAAGTTACATCAGCAAGGGACAGGAAATCGAGTGCTATGAGCCTCCTGAGGTGTCAAGTGGAAAAATGAGAGGTTTAAGGACTTCACCATACCTTTCAAAATGCCTTAGGGATCAATGCTTAAGAAAGTAAATGATGCAGCTGAGCTTTATCAAAAAAAAACAGTCTATAAAACAAGTTAAAGTACAAAGACCACGCCAATCAAGAAATACGAAATGGCCTTTTAGAAATCAAAATATTGTCTGGCTTATAGTATTCAGCCATTTGATCAATACTTTTGCTAATACAGGATTACTCCCTATATTCTTGACTACATTATTCACCTCTTCGTGGTTGCTTTAACTGCTGGGGTTGCCACTACCCCTGAGATAATTTACCTCAGTTATATTCATTTTCTTCACATTCTGTTCTCTGTTCTGGGCTGCCTTTCTTTGCTCTTTACCACGTTTTTTGGCATGTCTACTAGGCCCTTGTTACACTTTACACTGTGAGCTGCTCAAATGTTGATCAGTGTGGGTGTATCTACATGTGCAATTAGCACATCACATTAAATTCAATGCTAAATTAGTCAGCTCCCTAGTAAAGTGCATGAGTAGATGTAGCCTGTTAGTACTAGCTCGAGCAGTCACACGTTCAAGTCAATAGCAGCCTGGGGGACTAAAAGATAAGAATCCCCCACACCTCCGGACAGGGCTTCTCCTAGCCTCCTGCCCCCTAGGGCTCTTCATTCCCGCCCCCCACATCCAGTTCTCCTCTGCCCCCATGGATCTCCCTACCCCTTGGGAAATCACTCCACTCCACCTACTTGTGACTGTCCAATCTGTCCTGAGAGAGCAGACAGGGGAGGATTCACTTGCCTTCCCAACCCCTGTTGCTGCCACTGCCAGGTTGCTGCTGCACTTCTCCAGGTTGAACCCAGCCCACTGGCAGAGGTAGCCAGGTAGATAGGTTAACCCTTCCCTGTCTGCTCCCCTGGGACAGACAGCATGGGCAGCCACTAGCAAGCACAGAGGTGAGGCAGAGGGTAGTAGGTATGGATGAGGGGTTCTGGGAAGGGTGAGGAGGGTATTGAAACCAATTAGAAGGTGGATCTCTCCATAGCTTAAGTCACTCATTGAAATGCTTGGTTGGAGGGGCAGAGGATTACAGAAGAGAGGAGTTTGGGGGAATGGAAGAGAGTAGTTTAGGTCAGTGGTAAAATAGAGGGATTATGAGGAGAGGGATGAGTGGGCATAAGTAGCTGAAGAAAGGAAAGTGAATGAGAGGCCAAGAGGAAGTGAAGCATAAGGAAAGTTACGGGACTCTGGGGACGTGTGTCAAGGTGACAGGGATTTGGGATGTATGTGCCCATTATCACCACATTCTCCCCTCTTGTATGCATCATGCGACTATGGGGTACTATTACTCAAGTACATTTCACCTTTCACCTGTGCCAAACAGGAACTGCCTGGTGCTCTAGAGCAGGTGCTCTACAGCTAAACATTTAGTCTGATACAGAGAAAGAACACTCTGTCCTTATTCCTTTTATAATTCCTATGCTCTCATTTAAACTGAAAGATCATCTCCCACATAACTACTAATAGACTTTATAATAAACATGACCAACTTCTGTTACAAGCTACACAGTTCTATGATGTAAAGTTAGGGTTATGTGAGTGGGTACCTTTTTAACACCTCTAAAGATACTGGAGCATATAATCAAGCATTTGATTTGTGGGTACCAGGAAGATAGCTGGGTGATATTTAACAACCAACATGGATTTGTCAAAAGTAAGCAAGGCCTAGTTGATCTGATTTTATTCCATAAGGTGCAGGGACTCATGGTATTGCTTGCAGCACTGCTGCCATTCTCTAGTAACAAAATTGTATCTATTGTACAAGTCATCACTGAGTCATTTGAAACTACATTGGGATTCAGTGGATGCGTCTACACATGACACTGTGTCATCATAGCAATGAGCTATGGCAAGGTAGCATTAATGGCAAAAACCATGATGCCACAGCTATGTCACTGTAGCAACACATGTTGCAGCTAAACATAACCTTGCGTGGGCAGCATGGTCTAGTATGGGCTGTTACTGCACCATTATTCCAGGTTATCTTCATTACTTGATTTTGGAACGCAGATAGAGTGAGCCCACTGGATACAAATTTCTAGTCAAGTAAAATGATACAGAATTTGTTTAGGGCACCTTTTCTAGTCCTCTGCCCATATGGGTTGAGCAGATGGGAACCTAAGGCCTGTCTGGCTGCCAAGTAGTAGACCTCAGTTCCAAGTACAAAATTACCTTCATACAATTATTCTCTCTGTATAGATCCATAAATAGAGGCTTCTAGTAATCATTAGCACCTGCTCGCATCCCACTGGCCCACTGCTGTAGGACTTGCTACCAAAGTAAGACATCTATGTGTGTCTTCATTTAACAGGAGAATCCTACTGCACATCAGCACCTGCACAATATTTTGCAGGAAGGAAACCTTAAGCCAATGGCAAGGAAAATCTAGATGATCAGCAGCAATCCTGGTTTTCTCTGATAATCCCATCCCTCCTCCTCCCTTCCCCCACCCCCTCCCAAATTCTGGGTTTTAAAAGTAATCCCAAATCCAGATTTTTCCATGATTAAAATGAAACACCACTAATAGATAGATAGATAGATAGATAGATAGATAGATAGATAGATAGAAGTATTTATTTTTAGTCATGGAAAAATCTGGATTTGGGGTTAATTTATTAATCCAAAGCTTGGGGATTTTTTTTTTATCAGAGAAAACCAGGATTCCTGATGATAGATTTCTATACAGCTGCAGCCTTCATCTGCCTTTGCAACCATTGTAAGGTATGCTGCCCTCATCCTCCTGCTCTGCCATTGAGGGTTTTTATTTTTTTTTCAGAATAAAAATAAGTATGAGCCTGGAAACTTTGCCACCATGGATGACCCTACCAGGAGTACAAAACTACAGATGAAGTTGCTTTCAAGGTCATTGATATCACACAAGCCTCTCTACTATGTCCAGTTTGCAATTCTTGGGATATAAGACTTCAAAAAACAGATGTGAGATTTGTAGTGAGATAACAATATGATTCAACAGTGTAATACTTCTGCAAAAGAGATGGAGAACATACTGGGATATGTTAACAGGTGTTTTGTAGGCAAGTCACAGGAAGTGTTTCTTCTACTTTCTTCACAACTTACATAACTTATCTTACATAAAATATCATGTCCAGTTTGGGGCAGTGCATTTCAAGAAGGATGTGGACAAACTGGACTGAGCCCAGAGGAGCTCACATGTTATTATTAGGGGTCCAGTAAACCTAGCATGTGAGAAGAATTGCAAGAACTGAGATTATTTAACCTCTAAAAGAGAAGACTGAAAGGTGGGTTTCATAACAGTCTTCAAATGCAAAAAGAAAGGCTAGGAAGAAGATAGTTATCAGTTGTTCACTTTGTCCACAGAGAACAGGACAAAAAGTAAGAAGCTTAAATTTAATCCTGGGAGACTTAGGTAAGACATTAGGGTGAACTGAGGAAGAAAGGATGTTTAAACACAGGAAAGATTGCCTAGATATATAAGCTCAATCATTGTAAATATCTGAGTGCCAATTGGGCAAATATTTTATTTGAGATGGTTTAGATGGGAAATATCCTGCCTTGAGCAGGGTTTTGGACTAAACTATTTGGGGTCCTTTCCAGCCCTCTTTTCCAAGATTCTACTCTTTTCCTGGTTTTCCAAAGTTTAAGTTCTGCTTAATTTAGCATCCTGGCAACCTTTACTCCATGTTAATGATGATTTTATTTTTTAATGTTCTTATATGTTCCTTTAGATGGATGACTTCTTTTATGGCTGTAAAAGAAGGATACAAGGTTTTTTGGAGTGAGTGAATTTTTTGTAAATTTTGTAGACCTAATCCTCAGTACATTTTGTCCTGTTGTATTTCTCTTCATTCCTACCATGATTGCCAACCTCTTCGATAGCACTGCTATCAAACATTGAACTTTTCCTTGACATTTTCAAAAGATGAAGTGTTGTTGAAAGTGGATTCATTTCGGTTGTGGAAATATTCCTTGAGGAGGAGACATCAGAAGAATTCTTCTAGTTCTCTACTGTGTAGTATTTTATTAGAGAATTTTTCTAGACAGAAATTCAGGCCTTTAGAAAGAGATTTTTCAGCTTTGAAAAATATTATCCACACTTATGACTGTGTGGGGATAATATTTGAAGACTAATTGGTTCTTTCAGTTTTATTGAGTATGAGTTGGAATGTTGTAAGCTGTTGGTGTTGTTTTTCTGATGGTTGTTTTGTGGTTGGGCAAGTTGTTCCTGAAGTAATGGGTTCCATTTCTTTTTTTTTATGTTGGATGGATGTTGTAGAAAATCTTTGGTAGTTTCTTTATTTACAATGTATAATGTTTGGGAAGATATCTGGTTTTTTCCCTTTTAAGTTGTTGCAGCATGTGTTGATTTCCTTCTTGAGTTGATCTCTTTTGGAATAGGTTAGGTGAAGAAGATGATTTCTAAGTTTTTCTGAAGTTCTCCTGCATAGTTGTGAAGCATATCTGGAGTTGTGTGTAGTAGTTAGAGGATTGTAGATGTTCAGTCCTCTGGGAACATTGTTGCTTTTCTTAAACAGACTGGGCACTTGCTTTCACAAAAGGCTAGGACTGCCTGCAAAGCAGCTGAGACCCACCAGGAATGTTTGTAGGGACACTAAACCCCACTGGCTGTTTGCAGGAGTGGGAGGTGGCTGAAATTGTAGGAGTAGGCTGTGAAGGAAAGGCAGTATCAATATAGCAAGGGTAGGCCTCATCCTAGCTTTGTACAAGTAGTTTTTGTTTTGGCCTGCTCAATGAACCAAACTGAGGGAATTCACCCCATGGGACTGCTGGTTCGGGTGAGAGAGCCCATTGGACTGCTGATCAGAACTAGAGTCTTCAGAGCCATAGGGAAGACTTCAAAGACAGCCCAGATGTGTGCATGCTGAGAGAGGAACTTAAAGTTGCTCCTCTCCTGCAGGACTAAGGTTCTACTCCGTACTTTCAATACCATCAGGTCATGGCAGGTGAGAGAGAAGTAAGCACCTTTGGATGAGGGGAGGGCCAACAAATTAGGTTTGACTGCTAGGGGCAGCAGACTATGCTGATGAGCCCTCGGATGGTTACACACCCTCCAAGCAATAAATAGATAAACAGAATGAAATGACCCTCTGTATCCAGGAGCTCATAGGTTAGAGCACTCACTTCAGATAGGTGAGTAATCATTCATTGCCTCATGTGGAGATAGACTTTTAGCACAAATGGCTTTCCTTCTAAGTCAGTGCTCTAATCAGTGAACTATTCAAGGTGTCCTATGGTGAGTTCTGTCATTTACTCCAGTTGAAACTGTTCAATTTTAGAAAATACAATATTTAATACTTATTGAGCCAGGCAGTAAAAGAATGAGTATAGCCTGATGATTCAAGAACCCTAGTTTCTAGCTCTTGCACCTATGGCTTCTTCGTAAAGGACACATCTACATGTCACTGTAGCAACACAGTATGTCACTGTATGACATGGTACAGTGATGTAGTGATCACATGAGTCTACATGTGACTGGCCGCTACTCTGCCATGGTGGAGTGCTTTCCAGTTTTACTGCACTGCTATGGCAAACTAGTGGCTAAAACTGTGCACCATGCACACAACGCAGTATGGGCGGTTACTGTGCCATGCTTCAGTGCTTCCAAAAGAAGTACTAAAGCACAGCACAGTAACAATGTTGCCATAGGGTGACATGTAGATGCTCCCAAAGATACTTAAACAATCATAGGGACATAGACTCCCATGTCTCCCTTCCCAAATAAAATCTGTAACCATCAGGTTAGAGAATCATGATTATTCCCTCTTCTCTAATAAATATTTAAGTAGTATGACAGCAGCAATAAAATGAATTAAGAACACCCTACACTTTATAGGCTAGGATCCATGGTGCCCACAGCAAATTAAGTGTTCTAATTACTGTAAAGTACTGAATCTAAGGTGGGGGGAGACCATTCCTAGCTCCTCATTTTCCAAGTGTGCTTTCTCCACTGAGGACACCTCCCAGAGTAAGCTTTGTAAAAAAGATAGGTGAAGAAATGCCTACTTTATGGATCCTAATGGGGCATATGTGTAAGCTGTGCATTGAGTGTTATATGTGGAAGATAAACTATTTTACTCAGAAGGAATTTTACTTGGAAAAATGTAGACTTCTATGGGCTCACTATAGTTATCAGAGCAGTTAGTACCAGAGCAGGGTTTTGGGAGTTCTAAATTTTGAGTTGAGGACCATTCCGTATGGTTAGGCAGCACTTTGGCACTTTTTGGATCAATTTTTGGATCAATTTCCTTACCTCTCTATCCTGTTTAATTTCTGCTCTTTTTGATTTACAGTTTAGCATGGAAATTTACGGTGGGATGGAAGGAAGAGAATCTCTATGTGCTTGTGCAGCACTTAAAATAAAAACTCATTTTCATTT